ACATAACATTATGTTTGCTGACTGGGAACAGTTGTGGACTACAGTTATGAAATTTACAGCATGTAATGCCCTAAGAGAGAATATTATGAAAATGATATACAGGTGGTACATGACACCAGTCAAGCTTGAAAAATCTATCATTTGCCCGATAATAAATGTTGGAAATGTAAGGAAAACGAAGGTACATTTTTTCACCTTTGGTGGACGTGCCCAAAGATTAAGGCTTTCTGGGAGATGATCTATAATGAAATGAAAAAGGTATTTAAATATACCTTTCTAAAGAAACCAGAGGCCCTCCTGTTGGGCATAGTCGGCCAATTGGTGCCAAAGAAGGATAGGACTTTCTTTGTGTATGCCACAGCAGCAGCAAGAATACTCATTGCAAAGTATTGGAAAGTATTGGAAGACACAAGATCTACCCACCTTGGAAGAATGGCAGATGAAGGTGATGGACTATATGGAACTGGCAGAAATGACTGGCAGAATCCGAGACCAGGGAGAAGAGTCGGTGGAAGAAGATTGGAAAAAGTTTAAAGACTATTTACAGAAATATTGTAAAATTAATGAATGTTAGAATGATGCAGGGAGGGTGTGGGCAGCGGTAGACCCGTGCTCTCCCCGCTGGTCTCCGGCGACGAGTCATGGAGCCACCTCGCCGATTCCCCCATCTGCCCCCCTTCTCCACTGGTGCTACGCTGATTTCCTTCCCCAGAAGATGTGCTGCTTCTCTCCCTCCCGGGACGCTCTCCGGAATCCCTCTGGAGCCCTCCCTCTCCCCCTGGCTCCGCTGGCAGTTCCCTGACATCCACCTCCTCCCCAGAACCTCCCTCACTCCCGGCGCGATTTTCCGATATAACCTCGTCTCTTTCCTCGGCCGACGATGAGGGGAATCCCCTGAAGGAGCTGTCACCATCCTCTGTGGATTCAAAACCAGCCTCCCACCCGCTCAGATCTCTCCCCTCAGGGTGGACCCCCCATTCTGATTCTTCTCCCTCTGACATCTCTCCTCCCTCCTCTTCGGAGGCAGGAAAACCCACAAAGTCCCCTTCATCATCTGTGGTTCCAAATTCTTTCTCCCAGAATCTCGCTAGTGGTTTTGGCTTATCTGGGAACAAAATGTGGAATTCTTCCACCAGATACCCCTCATTGATTGACTCAGCGGGGACCCACGTGTTTTCTGACCTGGGTTCTCCTTCCCAAGCTACCAGGTACTCCACCTGGCGATCTCGCCACCTTGAATCGAGTATTTCCGTGGCTTGGTTGCGGTGTTCCCTCTCCTCTACCTGCGGGTGGGTGGTGACTCCTCCCTCCCCCCCCCGAAAATACCCCCCCACCCGGTACGGGGAAAGTAGGGACCAATGGAACACCCGATGTATATTCATGCGGTCCGGCAACATGAGTTTGTATGCCACAGGGTTCACCTGCTGTGTTACCTCAAAGGCCCCAGCCGCCTCGGCTGCAACTTCTTGCACCCTCCCTTTAGGGGTAACCCTTGGGTAGACAACCACACCCGGTCTCCCACCCTTATGGCCTCCCCTCCCGACGGTGCTTGTCCGCCTGCCTCTTGTAAACTTCCTTGGCCCGCTCCAAGTTCATCTTGAGTTGCTGGTGCAAAGCCTCCATTTCTTCTACAAACTGCTCGGCCGCGGGTACACTCCATGCTTCCTCCTCCCTCCCCGGGAAGGCTCTGGGGTGACACCCATAATTGGCCATAAACGGGCTCATTCCCGTGGACACATGTTCAGCATTATTGTACGCAAATTCAGCCAAGCCTAATTTCTCTGCCCAATCGTTCTGTCTCTCGCTGACATAGCAGCGTAGGTATTGCTGGAGTATACTGTTCGCTCTTTCTGCTTGTCCGTTGGTTTCTGGGTGTCTCGCCGTCGAGAAGCTCACCTGTAGCAAGCTCATGAGCTTCCTTCAGAACCTGGAAGTAAATTGTTTCCCGCGATCCGAGATTACCCTTGAGGGAGTCCCATGCAGTCTGAAAATGTGATCCACAAACAACCTGGCTGTCTCCTCCGCCGTCACCGCGTGTGAGCAAGCTACGAAATGGCACATTTTTGTCAGTAGATCGACTACTACCATGACTGCTGTCTTCCCCCTTGACTTGGGCAAATCTGTCATAAAATCAATGGACACCACCTCCCAGGGCCTTCCCGGTGTGGGTAAGGGTTCCAGTAGCCCTGCAGGGGCAGCCCTCTCTCCCTTTGCCCTCTGGCATCGGTCGCACCCCCGTACATATTCCCGTACATTCTCCCTCACCTTTGGCCACCAGAACTGCCTGGTGACGAGCAGCGTGGTCTTGTGCTGTCCAAAGTGCCCAGCTGTTGGGTTGTCATGGAGTTGTTTAAGTACCTTCCCCCTCAAGGTCTCCCCCGGTACATACAGTGCCCCCTTATAATACAGTAGCCCTTCCTTTTCCTCAAACCCTCCATGGTCTTCCCTTCCGTCCCGGAGTTCCCTGATTTTTGCTTGAGTGAACACGTCGTCTCTAGTAACCCCTGCCAGTTCTCGTTTCCCAACCAACGTTCCCCCACACACCCACCAGTCCTCGGGAAACACATGTCGGATCTCTGGTGGTCCCTCTCCCTCTAGGTACTCCGGTTTCCGGGAGAGAGCATCTGCTCTTACGTTTTCCTCCCCCGGCACGTATCTAATCTCGAAGGAAAACTTGGCGGACTCCTGGGCCCATCGAATCTGTCTCTGGTTGAGCACCCGTGCGGTCCGCCAGTATTCCAAGTTCTTGTGGTCAGTACAAACCTGGATTCTGTGCCACGCCCCTATCAACAGATGTCTCCATTGCCAAAACGCCGCATAGATCACAAGCAGTTCTCGGTCATACACTGTGTAGTTTTGCTCTGACTTGCTCAGCTTCCTTGAGAAAAAGTCACACGGCCTCCAGTCCTGCTTGACCCCGGGCTGCAAAAGGACCGCCCCAACAGCTCGGTCGGACGCGTCCGTCTCCAGTCTCATGGGCTTCTCCAGATCCACGTGCAGGAGCTGCTCTTCCTAAGCGAACGCCTTCTTCAGCTTTTCAAAGGATTGCTGGGCACTTTCTGTCCACACGAAATTCTTTTTGCTACTGAGACAATCTGTTATGGGTGCTGTCAAGTGAGCGAAGTTCTTTATGAACTTCCTGTAGAAGTTGCTGAACCCTAAGAACCTCTGCACATCCTTCCGGGTTTTGGGGGCTTTCCATTCCAGCACTGCCTTCACCTTGCCTGGGTCCATAGCTAGGCCCTTGTCTGACAACTTGTACCCCAGAAACTCGACCTCCCTGGCGTGAAATTGGCATTTTTCCAGCTTGACCCACAACTGATGCTTCTGCAGTCTCTGTAGCACTTCCCTGACGTCTTTGACGTGTTGCTTCTCATTGTCCGAATAGATTAAGACGTCATCCAAAAAGGCTACGCAATTCTTGTACAGCAGGGGCCCCAACACGTGGTGCATGAATGCTTGATTAATAGATTAAGACGTCATCCAAAAAGGCTACGCAATTCTTGTACAGCAGGGGCCCCAACACGTGGTGCATGAATGCTTGAAAGCAGGCGGAGCCCGATTGTAATCCAAATGGCATAACTAAGTTCTCGAAGGCCCCCAGGGGGGTGAACATGGTAGTTTTCCATTCGTCCCCCTCCCTTATCCTGATTAAATTGTATGCCCCCCTGAGGTCCAGCTTGGTAAAAATCTTCCCCTGCCTCACCCGTGTTAAAATGTCGTCAATATTTCTTGGAGTTTTCTGAAGAAGAATCTACTGGGGATGGGGGTTGGTAAAGGTTTTGGAAATGGTATAGGTGCAATCTACTCAGAACAAAAGGCTAAATTAATTGTGAATAATGTAGTGACGGAAGAATTTAAGATTGAGAAAGGAACACGACAAGGTTGCCCAATCTCTCCATTGCTTTTTATATCGGTCCTGAAGGTTTTACTAAACATGATTAGAAGGGACCAATTGGTAAAAGGTATCCAAGTGGGAACCAAACAGTATAAGTTGAAAGCATTTGCTGATGATTTGGTATTGACTTTACAGGAGCCAGAATCAAGCACTAAAAGAGTATTAGAATTGATTCAAGAATTTGGTCAGGTAGCAGGTTTTAAGTTGAATAAGATGAAAACTAAAGTTTTGGAGAAAAATCTAAATGAGATTGAGAGAGAAAAGTTCCAGAAGGAGACAGGATTGACATGGGTTAAGAAAGTGAAATATTTAGGGGTAAACATGACTGCTAAGAATGTGAATTTATTTAAGGATAACTATGAAAAATGATGGACGGAAGTGAAAAAGGATTTAGAAATATGGTCAAATTTGAAGCTATCATTGCTAGGTCGAATTGCTGTGATTAAAATGAATGTATTGCCAAGAATATTATTTTTGTTCCAAACATTGCAAATTTTGGACAAGATGGACTGTTTCAAGAAGTGGCAGAGAGATATCTCTAGATTTGTCTGGCAGGGCAAGAAGCCTCGTATAAAATTTAAAATATTAACAGATGCTAAAGAAAGAGGTGGATTTGCCCTGCCAGACCTTAAACTTTACTATGAATCAGCCGCATTTTGTTGGCTGAGAGAATAGATGCTTCTTGAAAATACGGATGTGTTGGATTTGGAAAGTTTCAATAATGTATTTGGTTGGCATGCATATTTGTGGTATGACAAGGTTAAAGCACATAAAGCGTTTAAAAACCATATTGTTAGAAAAGCACTGTTTAATGTTTGGGTAAGATATAAGGATTTGCTAGAAAGCAAAACCCCAAGATGGCTGTCACCAATGGAAGCAAAGGCTCAGAAAAAACTCAATATGGAGGCTAAATGGCCGAAGTATTGGGAAATTTTGGAACAAGAGGAAGACAGACTAAAATTGCAGAGCTTTGAAAAATTAAAAAACAGAGTACGAGATTGGCTCCATTACTATCAAATAATGGAGGCATATAATTTGGACAAAAAATTAGGCTTCCAGGTGGAAAAATCAAAATTGGAAACAGAATTGTTAGACCCTAAAGTTGACTGTCAACTAGCAGAACAGATACATAATGAACGGCAGCACTGGAAACATGTTCTTGAATGAGTTGTTGCAGGCATCATAACTCTGGCAGAGCATGGTTTACCTTCAGAGGAGATGAGGAAAGATTTGGTTCTCCCCACAATGGGAATTACATTGGATTACTTGAACTCACTGGAAGGACAGATCCTGAAGCTGAGGCTCCAATACTTTTGCCACATCATGAGAAGCCTCCCTGGAAAAGACCCTGATGTTGGGAAAGATGGAGGGCACAAGGGGAAGGGGACGACAGAGGACGAGATGGTTGGAGAGTGTTGTCGAAGCTACCAACATGAGTTTGACCAAACTGCGGAGGCAGTGGAAGACAGGAGTGTAGGGATGATCGCGGAGTGGGGAGTGGGGTCCGGAGGGAGCACACTCCCCGCCCGCAGGCAGCCTCAGCCTGCCTGCACATGTGACCTTGGGGTGCGGAGCACACGCACCCCTCACAGACAAAGCCACGGTTGTCTGAACATCGTTATGTCTGTCTAACCTTTTGCGGTCTCAGTAGTCTGCGGTGTCCTTTCTGTAACCTTTGTCTCTGAGTCCTTTTGTCTCCTTCGGCATACACTGTGCAAGGGGAAAATGACGTGGTGGAAACAGGTGCCAAAAGAACTTTGTACCACCCCATGATCTCGGGACCGGAAGATGTGTAAAGGTCACAGCCCAAAATGTATCTGCCTGGTTTGCATATTTGTCTCAATAAAAGGAGGCTCCACAGGGCTGGCCAGCAGCTCGCTTTCAGCTCACCTGTGCGGAGCTCACCTGCATTATCAACTCCTGCCTCATGTCCCTCACTTCATCTGGCGCCCAACGTGGGGCTGGTTTTACTCACTTCGCTCGGCAAGAGCTACAGACGCGTCCCTGCATCCTTTACAGGATCCTGGTGAGTATCGGAAGGAAGGAACGTGAGTATGGGGAGTTCCCTTTCTGCGCAACAGCTGAAACATCGTAACGAGTTGCAGTGCCTGCTTTTAAAGGCAAAGAACCGCTGTTCGTGTGCAGACTTAAATGTGTGCAGACTTAAAAGTAATTCATACTCAATGTCCGTGGTACCCTGAGGCTGGTTCCTTTAGGCTCCAGGATTGGGAACAAATAGGACAGACCCTGCACTCAGAGCCCAAAGCCCGAGTGCGAGTCCTGCAGGTTTGGCATTTCTGCCGAGATGCCATTCAGCATTTCGCTCAAATTCAGCATTCTGCTGTTATTCAGCATTTTGCTCCCATAGAAAGAAAGGCTTTGCTTTTGGTTGCTAGGCCACCATCCACAGAAGTTCAGCCTGTACTTTCTCTTATCAATCCTCCATCTCTTCTTTCCACCCTGCCAAGGTTGTTGGTGACAACGCCGCTGAACCTGGTTTTTAAGAAGCCAGTGTCTGAGAAGCCAGTTTCTGAGGCTTCTCAGGGTTCTCAGCAATCACCTCTTATCTCAGCCCAATCTTTCCTGTGACACCTCATTTCAGCCCTCAAGTCTGCCTGACTTGGCAGGCATAGCAGTGCCTCCTGAGTTGGTAAAGGCTCAGAAGGCAACCATCTCTGCTGTCCGGCAAATGGTTAAGGAGGCAAAAGCATCTTCTCACCTAACTGTGGAAGAGATTGCTGACCTAAACATGCTGCGTCCGGTTACATGGGCAGCGGATGGTCAGGGCCAACAGGTTAGCTGTTGGGACCCTCTGCCTTATTCTGTTATCAGAGAGGTGAAGAAAGCTGATAATGAAATGGATTTGACCAGTACCTATCTACATGGACTGGAGGAGGGTGAGTCCTCAAATTTTGCCTTGATTCGTTATGATTGGAAAGCCCTGATGAAAGTCGCTGTGAATCTGGAAACGCAATTGCCCCAGGAACATTTTCCTGTGATTTCTACATGCGCCCTACATGCCTTTCAAGCTCATAAAAGTAGTGCGCTTACAGGTGCTTTGCGTCACTCGAGGAACAGCCAGTAATCGGGTCACCCTCTGGCCCAGGACCAAAAAAGGGGGGAGATGTTTTCCTGCTCTAATAGCCCCACAGCCAGTAACAGCTTTGAAAAACCTGCCACCAACGGCAATGCGGGGCTGTATTTAATTATGCAGGAAGACACTATTTTCCTTCTACCCAGGGAGGTTGATCTCATTCCCATTCAGGTCCTGGGGCTCCTTTTCCCTTGGAACTGTGGGTTTGATCCTCCACGGGTCCCACACAGTCTCTGCAAAAGGGACAACTGATTCTGTCTACATAGGCATTCTCAGAACACAAGCGTGGCCACAGACTCTGCTAAAGGGAGTCTGTTGCACAGCTACTTCTTTTCCTGTGCTTGCAGCTGCAGACACTCACCGAGAAGCGGGGTTTCCAGCCCTTCCGGCTTCTTCCTTAGTTGCGTTCAAACCTTGATTTTTGTCTCAGCGTTGCCTTTAAAGTGGCTGACGCAAGAGCCTATTTGGATGGACCAATGGCCAATCTCAGGGCAAAAATTAAATGCTTTATTTGCCCTGGTATCAGATCAACTTGAAGTTCTGACTAGGTCCTGGAATCTGCTCCTGCTTGCCCAATTAGAATTTCCCAAACCTTTATAAGTTACCCACTGCACAATTTCAGCCTCTGAGATGCAAAAGCCCCTTCAGAGGGTATTTCCATAACTGCTAGCCATTGAACATGTTTAGCTGAACTAAATTTGATCCTTTTCTAGCAAACCATATAAAAGAATTTGGAAATGGAGGCTCAGGGGTCACATCCTACCTTTCTAAAACAATATGTGATGAATTTATCCAAATGATGGCCTTTGAAGTAAGAGGATCAATTTTAGAGGATTTAAAAACTGAAGGGTACCTCAGTTTATCCGTCCTGTCCCATGTTGATCAGCTCACTGTTATTGTAAGGTATGTCTCACCAGATGATGGGCTCCCTATTGAACAGTCTCTAACCTTCCTAGAGATGGGTAGCCTGTTAGGATTTTTGCTCCATGTTTGCAATCATGGGATTGTTGTCTATCACATGACGGTGTCTGTTTTCATTCCACAGTGTGGGAAGTGACGGAGACAGGATGTTTTGTACTACTGTGTTCCATGATGATCTTGGTTTAGTGATTGTAACATTGTGACTGGTCTGTATCATTTAGCTGCATGTTCCTTTCTGGGGCTCTAAATGGGGTCTTATTCTGAGTGTGACTTTTGGATGTGAATACAGTGGTACCTCGGGTTAAGTACTTAATTCGTTCCGGAGGTCCGTGCTTAACCTGAAACTGTTCTTAACCTGAAGCACCACTTTAGCTAATGGGGCCTTCCCGCTGCCGCCGTGCGATTTCTGTTCTCATCCTGAAGCAAAGTTCTTAACCCAAGGTATTATTTCTGGGTTAGCAGAGTCTGTAACCTGAAGCGTATGTAACCCAAGTTACCACTGTATATGAACTTGTCGGACTCCTTATTAGTTCCTTTTCACCTAACCTAGGAATTAATTGGGATTTCAGAAAGTTAAACAAATAGTATAAAGAAGGTCATGAGCATTACTTCAAAAATGGGGAAGAGCTGCGACTCAGGGAGACAGAGTTTGCTTGGCATGGAAAAGCTTCCAGGTTCAGTCAATTGCATCTCCCATTTCGGACTGAGAAAGGTGTCAGTCTGAAATCCAGGAGAGCCACAGCCACTCAGTTGTAGACATTGCAGAGCAAGATGTCCCTGCATCTAAAGCACCAAGGCAGCACAATTACACACACACGCACACACACACGCCAGTGCATGGCAGCTCCAAAACTGACTTTCTGTTCCCACAGTTCAGGGAGGCCGGAGCTAAGAAATGTTGTGTTGTGTTGTGAGATGTTGTGTTGTGTTTGAGAGGCCTGCTCCTTCCTGATTTGTATTCCGGCTGCCTCAAGAAACCAGTTGTTGTTGTTGTTAATTCAAGAGAGTTCCCTATCGAGGCTTCCTGTCCCAGGAGGGGACAAACCAACTGCCCACCCACTGCTCTGGTCCCCATGATAAAGGCAGGGAGGCAGAGACACATTATCTCCGCATTGCAGATCCTCATAGCAGTAGAAGTTGTGGCCCTCCAAGAAAGCTGAATGTTGGGAGATCTAGGACAGAGAAAAGCATTTCGTTGTGCAGCACATAATTGAACTATGGAACTCACTGCCACTGGAGGCAGAGATGTAAACCAACTTAAAATCATGGAATTGCAGAGTTGGAAGGGACCACAAGGGTCACCTAGTCCAGATCTTTGCAATGCAGGAATCTTTTGCCCAACATGGTGCTCAAGCCGGTGACCCTTAGATTAAGACGATCGTGCTCCACCCACCGAGCTGGGGAGAAGACAAGGGGACAAATTCATGGAGCACTAGGCTGTGACTGGTTCTTAGCACAATGGCTCTGCTCTGCCTCCACAGTTCAGAGGCAGCAGGCTTCTAAATCTCAGATGCTAGAAAGTGCCAGGGGAGGGGGAGAGGGAAAGGCTGCTTTTGCTCTCTGGTCCTGCTTGGAGGTTTTCCACAGGCGTCTGGGTGGCCCCTCTTGGGCGCTGGACCAAATGGGACACTTTTTGTGTCCTTCCACGGGGTGAGTGGAAGCTCACAGGGAACTTATGATGACACACAAATGTTGCCAACATCATGTAGGGGATGGAGGAAGGGGAGACAGCCCTCAGGCAGATGGGGGAGGAGGTGTATTTATTCTGATATGCCACCACGCCGTGGAAAACGCAGGAAAAGCAGAGCAGGCTGCACCAGTCAGTAGTCAGCAGCCCTGATAGTGGAGCCAGAGAGAGTCCTGCCTGATCTTTGAGAGAGGTCAATTCCACAGGCATTTGTTGTTCTAGCTGTTGGTATCCCAGGAGAGAAATCAGATGCACCTGCTGCCGAAAAGACGCTCCTTGGGGAGCACTGTGCATTTGGGGTGGGGCTGAGGAAGACAGGGCAGGTGCCCTGCGAAATGTATGGGGCAGCACAGGGCATGGAGCCCCTTCTGGAAGCTGCCGGACTGAAGCTCCCATCCTCTGTGTCTCCTGGCCATGCTGGATGGGTCAGAGGGAGTTGGAGTCCAGCACTATCAAGAGGACAACCCATTAGATGCCCCTGATATACAGAATCCAGCCTGTAAATAAGGAACGTTAATGCATCCACATGGGTTGTTAATGCAACACATTGAACTGGAGGAAATGAGAATGCAGTTTCACAGATCAATGAAAAACAAGCTAAAATGGGTGACATAAAAGGAAAGGGGAATGGGGAGGGTGGAGGAAAGGAACAAGCTCAGGTACTGTAGCAAGGATCTAAGGAATACCTGTTGCCCATTCAAAATATGCTCAAGAATCGACAGACACGGCAGTGGAGAAAAAGAAAGTACAAATTTATTGCTGAGCAATAAAGACCCAGTGGGATGTTTTCCAGAGCCTGGGCCCAGAGCCCTGGGGCTTTGGGTTTATATACCTTGTTCCAAACAGCATTAAACATTACATATTCATATATTGCAGCAAAATCAAACCAATGAACAGGGGCGAAGCCCTTCCTATGTCCATGTAAATAAGGAACGTTAATGCATCCACACGAAACACATAGAACTGGGCAGAAGCCCCACTCAATGCAAGGAGGTTTATTTCTGTCAAAATGTGGAGATGGAGAGGCTGTATTTGCAGAGGGCATTTGAAGCTGATACCCTGGTTCAATTTATTTTTCATTTTCTTCCCATCTAAGGCCTCCAGAGCAAGGAACTATCCTGCCTGACGTAGGTAAAGGGGTTCATTTTTCAGTCATCTATTAATCCAATGATGCATGAATTTTAACAGCTGCATGAGGTCTTGTGGGGAGAGGAAGGTTTCCTAGAATTGCAGAATTGAGGGTCATCTAGTCCCACCCCTGCAGTGCAGGAAACTTTTGCCCCTCGTGGGACTCAAACCCACATCCCTGGGGTTAAGAGTCTCATGCTCTGCCAAATCAGACATCTCAAAAGGAAAACAAGATTGAAGGTAAGGGAGCCCCTTTGAGGATAAGATTATTTGTTGGGACGGTTAAAAGTATTACTGTCTCTTTAAGAAGTAAGCAGCAGAGGGAATTCTGGGAAAAGGAAGGAAAATGCAAAGCAAGAGCAACCCATTTTTCTTTTGTTATTTCTGCTGATTTTGACTGGAATGAATCCTCTCAAAGGGCCCTTGGAAAACTGACCAATGTGCTTTTGGCAGATAAATGTTTTTTATGTCAGTCACTCTGGTCTGGAGAGAAAATTCCTGCTGGGCCTGAGAGGCAGATTTAGTCTCCTCAGGAGATACTGAGGTGGGCTTCATTTTCCAACAAATAAAAGAAAGGGAGCAGGGTCTCTCCAGAGAACGAGGCTCCTGAGAACGTGTAGAGTTCGGCTCCTGAGTCAGCGTCAGAAAAAGACACACGTCCCCCTTCATAGTCCAGAGTCACCCGGATCCTCCTGGGCTCCTCACTCAGGGCCAGAGGAGAGTAATGAGGGGAGGTGCAGGCCAAGTACTCATCTCCCCTCTTCCCCACAGCCCAGATCCCTCTCTCAGGCTTTAAGGGGAAGATGCCCTTTCTCTCCACAGACTTCCTGGCGACCCCAAGACCCCACCATCCCCCACTTCCCACAGTGACTTCCCAGAAATGTCTCCCTGCTGTGAATCCCTCACGTCCCAACACACAATACTCCCGGCTGAATCTCTCAGGATTATCAGGCAGGGCTTGAGGTTTGTCTCCCCATCTCACACTTTTCCCATCCTTCGACAGGATGAGCCTGGGATGGGCTGTGTCTGGATCCAGAGTGACATTTGCTGTTGGGGAGAAGATGAGGGAAAGAGAAGAATATGCAGAGTCAGCTGAGAGACAGAAACGGACATCCTGATAAATAAATAAAAAACACCCAAAAAACCCAGATTTCCTTTCAGATCAAGGGGATTTCTTTTTCTTTTTTCTTTTTTAAAGAATATTTATTCCAATTTTAAGATTACATAGAAAGAAAAAAGCAAAAAAAGAAAAACAAATCACATACACCCTACAAAAAAAGAACACCACACGATACAGAAAAAAATACAAAAGACAAAAAATCACAATACAAAAGTAACAAAAAATCAAATTAAACCATTAAGATCATTTTCCCATTTACTTATTTCCAAGACTTCCTCTCACTTCTCTGCTTTGTATTCTAATTTAAGTCGTATCTCCAGCAAACCCTTCTAACCTTCTTTTCATTTACTTAATTTAACATTCAAAAATATTTAATTCTCCTCTCAATTTTACATAACACTACATATTTCCTTATTCCATTATACTCTGTCTGCCAATACGGTCTAATGTTCTTCTCCAACCTTTTCTAGCATTCTTTTATATTACAGTATTTCTGAAGATATGTTTTAAATTTTTTCCAATCTTCTTCCATCGACCCTTCTTCTTGGTCTCGTATTCTGCCGGTCATCTCAGCCAGTTCCATATAGTCTATCACTTTTCTCTGCCATTCTTCTCGGGTAGGCAACTCTTGTGTCTTCCAGTATTTCCCAATGAGTATTCTTGCCGCTGCTGTCGCATACATAAAGAAATTCCTGTCTTCCCTTCGCACCAATTGGCCGACCATGCCCAAGAGGAAGGCCTCTGGTTTCTTCAAGAAAGTATATTTCAATACCTTTTTTAGTTCATTATATATCATTTCCCAGAAGGCCTTGATCTTTGGGCACGTCCACCAAAGGTGGAAAAAAGTACCTTCATTTTCTTTACATTTCCAACATTTATTATCAGGCAGATGATAAATTTTTGCTAGCTTGACTGGGGTTAAGTACCACCTGTATATCATTTTCATTATGTTTTCTCTTAAGGCGTTACAGGCCGTGAATTTCATACCTGTGGTCCATAACCTTTCCCAGTCAGCAAACATAATATTATGCCCCACATCTTGCGCCCATTTAATCATAGCAGATTTAACCATTTCATCCTGTGTATTCCATTTCAACAGCAGATTATACATTCTTGACAAATTTTTGGTTTTAGGTTCTAACAATTCCGTTTCCAGTTTAGATTTTTCCTCCTGGAAACCTATCTATTTATCTAAGTTAAAAACCTCCCTTATTTGATAATAATGCAGCCAATCTCGGACTTTAGTTTTTAATTTGTCAAAGCTCTGCAATTTTAATTTATCTCCGACTTGTTCTAAAATTTCGCAATATTTTGGCCAATTTGTCTCCATGTTTGTTTTTTTCAAAGCCTTAGCCTCCATTGGTGACAGCCACCTTGGTGTTTTACTTTCCAACAAATCCTTATATCTCACCCAAACATTAAATAATGCTTTCCTGACAATATGATTCTTGAAGGCCTTATGCGCTTTAACTTTGTCATACCATAAATATGCATGCCACCCAAACACATTATCAGAAACCTTCTAAATCTAAAATGTCCACATTTTCAAGAAGTAGCCAATCTTTCAGCCAACAAAAAGCGGCTGATTCATAGTAAAGTTTAAGATCTGGCAGGGCAAATCCCTCTTTCCTTTGCATCTGTTAATATCTTAAATTTTATTCTGGGCTTTTGCCCTGCCAGATAAATTTAGAAATATCTCTTTGCCACCTCTTGAAACAGTCCATTTTTATCCACAATTTGTAGTGTTTGAAACAAAAACAACATTCTAGGCAATACATTCATCTTTATCGCAGCAATTCGGCCCAGCAATGATAACTTCAATTTTGACCATATTTCTAAATCCTTCTTCACCTCTGACCAACATTTTTCATAATTATCTTTAAACAGATTCACATTTTGGCAGTCATATTCACCCCTAGATATTTCACTTTGTTAACAATTGTTAATCCTGTCTCTTTCTGAAACCTCTCCTTCTCTATCTCTGTAAGATTTTTCTCTAATACCTTGGTTTTCATCTTGTTTAATTTAAAACCAGCTACTTGACCAAATTATTGTATTAATTGTAACACTCTTTTTGTACTGGCTTCTGGCTCCTGTACTGTCAAGACTAAATCATCAGCAAAAGCTTTCAATTTGTACTGTTTAGCTCCGAGTTGTATACCTTTAACCAATTGGTCTTTTCTAATCATATTGAGCAAAACCTCGAGGACCGATATAAAAAGCAATGGGGAGATTGGGCAGCCCTGTCTTGTTCCTTTCTCTATCTTAAATTCTTCTGTAACTACATTGTTCACAAAAAGCTAAGCTTATTGTTCCGAATAAATTGCACCTATACCATTTTCGAAACTTTGGCCTACCCCCATCCCCTGCAGATTTTTCTTCATAAAGCTCCAAGAAATATTATCAAACGCTTTCTCTGCATCTACAAATATTAAAACAGCTTTAGTATTAATGTTGACTTGCAATTTTTCCAAAATGTTAATGATGTTCCTAGTATTGTCTGACAAATGTCTCCCAGGTAGAAAGCCCGCCTGGTCTTTATGAATCTCTTTACCAATACGTTTTTTAATCTCTTAGCCATAATTTCAGCAAAAATTTTGTAATCCACATTTAATAGGGATATGGGACGGTAGTTCTTCAACTGTGTCTTCTCCCCTTCGGTTTTTGGTATAAGTGTAATATATGCTTCTTTCCACGACTCGGGTGCTTTTCCTCCCCGTAGTATTTCATTACAAAGTTCTTTCAACGGTTGCAATAACCATTCTTTCAAAGTTTTGTAGTACTTTGCAGTTAATCCATCCGGCCCTGGAGATTTGCCCAATTTCATATTCTGAATGGCTCCTTCCACTTCTTGGTCAGATATTGTCGAGTTTAATGTTGATTTACTGTCTTGAGATATTTTTTGTAATCCATTATTTTCCAAAATCGGTCAATGTCTAGATCTTTCTGAGTCTCCTGCGTATATAACTGTTTGAAATAATTCTGAAAGCACTTCCGAATCTCTCCAGGGTTCTGTATATTCTTTCCTTCTACAACCAAGTTCGTGATTGTATTCAGCTTTTGTCTTTTTTTTCATTTGCCAGGCCAGCAACTTCCCACATTTATTTGCCGATTCGAAAGTCTTTTGTTTCATCTGTTTAATCTTCCATTCTATCTCCTGATTCATCAATTTCATATATTGTACTTGGTATAGCTTTATCTCTTTTAAAATCTCCTGTGAGTTCGGTTTCGCTCTCAGTCTTTTTTCTCCATCCTTTATTTTCTCCAAAATTTTTCTCTCTTCTCATTTTGGTATCTTTTCCTAATTGCATTTTGTTGTATCAAGAATCCTCTCATCACCGCTTTACTGGCATCCCAAATCACTCTTTTTTCTGTCGTAGTATTCAAATTTATTTCAAAATAGTCTCTCAAATTTTTTTGAGCCTTTTTAATAATTTCCTCATTCCTGAATAAGGAGTCATTCATCCTCCATCTAAAGGCCCCAATTGGCGTTGATATCATTTCAATCTTTACTGGATTGTGATCAGAGCAGATTTTCGGGCAAATCACTGCTTTTTTTAATTTTAGGAGCCAGTCCTCTAGTTATCCAGATTTGGTCTATTCTTGTCCATGTCATATTTGCTTCAGAGAAGAAGGTTCCTTCTCTTTCCAAGGGGTTCTTTGTTCGCCAAATATCCACAAGATCACTATTGTCAGTCATTTCAAAAAATGTCTTTGGTAATCTTCCATCTTTTGTCACTGTTTGTCTTTGGGCTTTGTCCATATTTGTAGAGACTACTCCATTCATGTCTCCCATCAAAATAATATTGTAATCCAAATAGTCCAGGAGAGTTTCATGCAATTTCTTGAAGAATTCTGATTTTCCCTCATTTGGTGCGTATACACCTATTATCAAAAATTTCTGTCCTTGGAATTGAATTTCAATTGCTATATATCTTCCTTGATCATCTTTAAATATAAATTTTGGTGACAGGCTTTCCTTCGCATAAAGTACTACCCCTCTTTTTTTAACATTGTCCGATGAGATAAATTCTCTCCCAATCTTTTTATTTGTCAAAATTTTCCGATGTAGCCTTGTCACATGAGTCTCTTGTAAACAGATCAAGTCCAAATGTTCTTTTTTCAATGTATGAAATACTCTTCCCCTTTTAGCCGACGAATTTAGGCCATTAATATTCCAGCTTAAAATTTGTAGTGTCATTTTGTAACTACTCTCCTTCTCCTCCAGCAGCCCCAAGAAGGTTGTCTATGTCTGTCGGTGGCGTTGGTTTCCCTTTTTTTTGCAGACTCTTGTCCGGTATCGCGATGTCTTTTCCCAATCCTTTCAGTAGGTCTTCTTCGTATGCACTCAGAAACTTGTTCTTTTCCTCCACTGATCTGATCTTGGTCTTTCTTCCTTTAAAGCTAAAGGATAGACCTTGGGGAAATTCCCACCTAAAGAGAATTTTATTTTTTCTCAACAAGTCCACCAGGTCTCCAAAGTCCTTTCTTAAATCAAGAAGATGTTTTGGTATATCTTTAAAAATTTCAACTTTTAATTGTATAATTGTCAAGGGTTTTTCGTAATGTAAACCCAAAATTTTGTCCCTTTCTTCCTTAGATCGAAGAGTAATCAAACAGTCCCTTATTTTAATCTTTCTTCCTCCTTTCCCCAGTCGAAAGGCCCTCACAATCTTAAAATCCTCTTGTTTCAATTCCGATTTCCAAAAGTCCAGAAATTCTTGTGTCAAAAAGTCTATCAAAGTACCTTTCTCCAACTCAGGAACAGCTCTGATTCTAAGATTCGTTTGTTTGTCTTTGAGGTCAATCATAGATAACATTAACTTATGTTCTGCAATCTCTTTCTGTAAGTCTGGTACTTTTTCAGTTTCCAACTGCCCCAATTTGAACTCTACAGCAGCAGTTTTTTCCTGTATAGACTTTGAGTCTTGCAGCAGTTTCTGAATAGATTCCGTATTGCTATTTACTTTTTTCTCCAAATTACCTAATGTTTCTGTATTTAGGTCAATTTTCCTGTTTGCAATATCCACTTTCTGATTGGTCTCTTCCACCTTCCTGTTCGTCTCCCCCACTTTTGTAGATAGCTGCTGTATTGAATCATTAATCTTAGACAGAGCACTGGCTAAAAGTTCCTCAGACATTCCACCAGACTTAGATTGTGTTGCCGATGTAGGCAAACCAGCAGATGATTGCCTTCTATGTGTCCAAGGTTTCCTGATCTCAAGGTTGACTGGTCCTTGTAACCATCAGCCATAACAGAGTGAAGGTCAAATTACTTTCCCACGTCTGCTCTTCCTGTTTATAATTGGAAAATTCCTTTCCTTTCCTGCAATTGCAGAAAGTCCCACTAGATGGACACTGTTGCCACCTAGCAAGTTACTGTCTTTTAAAACAACAAGGGAAAGATACTAAGTAAGAGAAAAAAAAAGAGTCCAAAGTAAAAGACACAATATAACTTTCCAGTCTTTTCCAATCTTTTCCCAGTAAAATTGGCCACTATGTATCTCCTTTGCAGCCAGCAAACAGCTTTAGCAACTTTGACAGCTTTGACAGCTGAGTGACAGATCACTCATTTAATCCTTCAATTTAAACGATCCAATAAAGTCAAAAGTCTTTCCCTTAACTCTCCTAAGGGTAGATCCCTCCAAAGTCCTCAGGTCAGAAGAATACACTTATTTCAATTCAGCTCTCCCACGTTTAGCTCCAAATCTCTTTGCTTTGTTCTTTATACAATGCAGTGAAGCCGACTTCCTGTTTACGCTTCCACCGCGGTAGCCAATTCAGCCATTTTTTTAAAAGCTTTAAACTTTTCCGCTTTTCCGCCAAAGTTCCAAATTAATCCAAATCTTGCTCTTTATCCAATTCTTCTACTCACGGTTAGTTTTGAGTCCGAATGTCCCAGGAATAAGTCAGCGCTCTCCAGCAACGGCAACGCGGCTTCGCTCAGTGGGAGCAGCGATCCGCCGCAGCACCGCGCTCTCCCCGCTCCCTTCCGAAGCCTCGAAAGGCTTCCTTTCAGGTTGGGGGCGCTCAAGGTGCCCGCCTGAGCCTCCACGTTCGCAGGCGTCCGCGCCTGCGATTTCTAGGGGTCCCCGCTCGCCGGAGCGCACAGGACCCGATCTCCCACTGGGCTACCCCCTCCGAACATCAAAGGAGGTCCGCCATTGCTGCTGGCACTGACCGGAAGTCCAGATCAAGGGGATTTCTTTGCATCGCATGCTAGACTGAGACCCCTGACTCTCATCAGAATAAATATCCTCCTTTATGGTTTTTAAATCAATTTCCTTTACTTTCTTATATTCAATGTATATTGTTCCTGCCCTTCTCTAAACCCAGACATTTTCTAAGGGGAAAAACCACCCAGTAAACCTTTTACTCAGCTCTTCTGTGCTATGTAAGGGGGAAGAGAGGAGAACTGGAGGAGAAGAGAGAAGCTGCTTTCCTCTGACAATCTCTGTGGGAATTGGCCTTTGGGGACATCTGGTTGGGGTGGGGGAGGAGGACCCCCCTCTTCTAACAACAACAGCAAAAACGAATTATATTTGCCTACTGCCCTTCATCTACAGGTCTCAGGGTGGTTCACAGCATAAAACTACAACATAAAAACACATATAGGCCTCCCTCACTTTCGTGGGGGTAACGTTCTGGGCCCTCGTGCCCACAAGTGAAAATCGCATTAAGTGGGGAGCCTGTTTATTCCTGCTCTCCATCTCTCTCACCCACTTGGTCTCTCCTTGCCTTCCTCCCAACCATCTTGAAGTCTAGGGCTTGCCGCCAGGGAAGAGGAGGCAGATGGCAGGGCAATTTTACAAAGGACTCCTTATTCCACGCTTCTCTTTTGGATTTAATATATACCGTAAGATTAGTTCCCTGGGGAAGAGGGGGATAACTCAAAAGGTTACCAGACAGTCATGATAGGCAAGTGTGGGGTTGCCATATTTTGAAGAGCAAATAAGAAGACACATTGGCCAACTTCTACTTTTAACTAAGATTGCTATGACAACTCTCATTTTAAATACACCTACTCTATGTAGGCTATACAAGCTGTGATATATTGCTAGTAAAGGTAAAGGGTAAAGGGACCCCTGACCGTTAGGTCCAGTTGCGGACGACTCTGGGGTTGCAGCGCTCATCTCGCTTTACTGGCCAAGGGAGCCAGTGTACAGCTTCCGGGTCATGTGGCCAGCATGACTAAGCCGCTTCTGGCAAGCCAGAGCAGCGCACGGAAATGCTGTTTACCTTCCCGCTGGAGCGGTACCTATTTATCTATTTGCACTTTGACGTGCTTTCTAACTGCTAAGTTGGCAGCAGCTGGGACCGAGCAAAAGGAGCTCACCCCGTAGTGGGGATTCAAATCTGCTGACCTTCTGATCGGCAATCCCTAGGCTCTGTGGTTTAGACCACAGCGCCACCCGTGTCCCATATTGCTAGTAGCAATGTTCTTAAGTTTCAACAAAAAAAGAAGAAGAATAATACCTATTGCTCCCTCGCTTGCCACATGAAAGTATTTGGGCTCATGTTCACATCTTGGTAAACATAAGTGTGCACAGAACAATTTATTAAACTGTTGAACATCTGCATATGGACTCTCCTTAAGGGCAGAGGGATGTTAACTCTTGCCCTCTCGGACTCCTTCTCCAAGATCTTGTAGCTGAGCCAGCGTCCTTTTAGTTCAGCCACAAGAAAAGGGATTTTGCTAGCTTAAGATGCTGCTCTGTCACGATTCTCTGCTGCAGGTTAGTTTAGCCAGGTGCCTAAGATCTGAGTCTAACACACTAGAAAACATTTCATGGGTTACTGTAAACCAAAAAAAAAAGAAAAAGAAAGAAAGAATATTGGGATATTCTGCCAAATTTTAAACATGTGCCCAGCAGAAATTTTAATCCTGAAAAAAGAAGACGTATCCGGGCGAAAAGAGGACATGTGGCAACTAGGCCTGAAAAAGGTGACATGGAAAAGCAACTCAACTCTCTCTAGGCAGAAATAAAACTCTTCCTTGCTCAGTCTGATCCTTCTGGGCAGTTTCTCTCCCCCTTCTGCACCTTCAAGTCCACCCTCTCTGCCTTTGTGGCACAAACAGCAGGGCTAGAGTCTAGCTGTGGATGGTTCTCAACAGTGCAGAAGAGACTCTTGACCCCCATGAAACTCTAGTCCCCACCCTCCTGTGAATTGGGGTCTCCATGTGAAATTTATCTCTCTGGAGATTTCTGAATGACTGAACATCTGAGGAACCAAAAGGACAGGCTTAATGGGCTACACTGCAATAGCTCAAAGAAACTCTTTTTTACAAAACATCACCATAACATAGCATCTCTTGTTTCCTTATATCTTTTTTTAAAAAAATAATATTTATTACTTTTAAACCTTACAAAAAGGAGAAAAGAAAAGAAATAGAAAAGAAAAAGAAAAGAAAAAGAAAAAACAATACAGTACAATATATAAACAATACACAACACAACATTAACATTAACACGTTAAACAAAACGAAAGCAAAAACAGTTCAAAAAACATACATCATACCATCTCAATATCCTCTCTTTCATCCCCTTGTTTCATCGACCTCCTCTCACCTCCCTTTTTGTATTCCATTTCTATTAATTATTTCAGCAAATCCTTTCCATCTTTCTCTATTTTCTGTCATGTGATTATCTTAACATATTTTAACCTTGTTTTCCATTAATACTATGATACTTATTTATACTTAATTCCTTACAACATTTCTACTAAAGCCGTATAATTCCCTTCCAACATTTTTCTAACACTCATTAGAAAACAGCATATTAAACAGAAAAACAGAACATCATATCACAATAAAGAAAAAGAAAAAGAAATATATATATATATATACACAATAAATCTTCCCATAATTTATCTTTCATTTGCTTGTTTCCTTGACCTCCTCACACCTCCCTTTTTTGTCTTCTAGTTCAGTTAGCTATTTCAGCAAGTCCTTTCCATCTTTTCCAATTTTTGTCCTCTATTTTATCTTAATATATTGTAACTTTACTTTCCCTCCTTTCCCCATTTAACAATCTATTTTTTCTTAATCCTTTATAGCATTTCTGCTAAAACAACATTACTTCATTCCAACATCCTTCTAACATTCCTTAATTTTACAATGTTTCTGTAAATAAACTTTAAATTTCTTCCAATCTTCTTCCACCAACTCTTCTCCCTGGTCTCGGATTCTGCCAGTCATTTCCGCCAGTTCCATGTAGTCCATCACCTTCATCTGCCATTCTTCCCGGGTGGGTAGATCTTGTGTCTTCCAATACTTCGCGATGAGTATTCTTGCTGCTGTTGTAGCATACATAAAGAAAGTTCTGTCCTTTTTTTGCACCAATTGGCCGACCATGCCCAGGAGAAAGGCCTCTGGTTTCTTCAGTATTTCCGTCAATTCCATATAGCCCATCAACCTGGTGATCTTCTGTCCGTGGCTCTTAACTCTTTTCCAAGTCCCTTCTGCAAGTCTTCTTCATGTTTATACATGCACTTTACTTTGTCTTCTCCTGATCTTGTTCTTATTTTCCTTCCTTTGATGCTGAAAAGTAGATCTCGGGGAAATTCCCATCTAGCAATGTTTTTATTCCTTCTCGACAAGTCAGCCAAATCTCCATAGTTAAAACTGAAATTCAAAAGATATTTCCAGTCGTGTTTCAAAGTTCCTCCGAGTCTGGCGGTCCCCACAACTCCAGTCTCCTCCTGACCCAAGTCCAGGTGCCAAAAGTCAATAAATCCCTGCATGAAGGGATCTATCCAACTTTCCTTCTCCAGTCCAAGCAGGGCTCCAATCCTCAAAGTCTGACTTTCTCTGAATTCAGTCTTAAAAGGCATCAACTTATAATCGTCAAATTGCATCTGTAAGGCTGGGGCTCTCTCCTCTCCACTTGTGCAACTTTAGGTTCCACAACCACAACTTTCTCCCCGCCTTCTCCTCAATTTGCCATGTCAAAATAGATCCCTGTATCAATTCCTGGATAATTTCTGTGTTAATATTCACTTTTTGTCCCAAATTAGTCACTTTTTGTTCCAAGTTATCAATTTTTATAGTCCTCGCATCCGTCTTCTTATGGAGCTGTTCCAGTGAATCATTAATCTTACATAATGCAACCACTAAGGCTTCTTCTGTCAACATTCTTAACGGTCCAAGGTCAATCCCAGATTCTCACAGTTTTATCTTGCAGGTGGAAATTCCCAGCTCAGCTCATGTAACAATTTCAAAAGCTTCCTCTAGGGGGAAACAATTTCTATTTGTATCAATCCTTTTAAGCACAGTTCAAACAATAAAGTTAGTTTCAATTTTCAATTACTTTTACTCCTTTTTAAACGCAGGAGACAATGGAAACAATGTATTTCTCTTCTTTGACTTACTGTCAGCAAACGATCTATTCACAGTCAATGAGCATATCCAAGACTTCAGTCTTACTAGCAGCCCGTTTCCAGGTTCAGAGCGGTGGTGATTTGACTTTCTTCACTCTATCCTGCAGGCTTTACGCGATCTAAAATTTCCCCCCTCTTCTCCTGCTTCCAAGGGGGGTTTGATGATTTAGCCGATGGAAGTTCAATCCTTTATGAAAGACTTTCCAAGACTTTAGTTTGCAGTCTCTTTGCTTCAGTCTATTTACAAAAGGGGAAGGCGGACTTCCTGTTTGAAACCTCCCCGTTTCGGTACCAAATTAAGACATTTAAAAATCCAATTTTCCGTTCTACTCACGGGTAGTTGTTTTAAAATCAAATTGTCCACAGGAAAAAGTCAGTGCTCTCCGGCAACAGCAATGCGGCTTCACTCCGTGAAAGAAGCAGTCAATTCAAAGCACCGCGCCACTCACCCCACGTCGCTCCGGATCCCCGAAACCGGGTTTCCCCGCGAGTAGGGGAGGCGCAAAAGGTGCCAGCCAAATCCCATGTTCACAGGCTTCTCCCGCCTGTGATTTTTGATGGGTCCCCGCCTTAGCCGTGGCGGCCAGACCCTAATTTCCACAAAGCAAATTCCTCCCGATCAGAGGAGTTCAGCCATTATCGGAGGCGCTAACCCGGAAGTTCCTCTTGTTTCCTTATATCAAGCAAAAGATGAAGTCATAGAACAAAGAATTGCAAAGATAACAACTGTAGGCCTAAGGAATTAAAACAACTAACGTGTTTAGCTGTGATTCCTGCAATGCAGGGGCTGGACTAGATAATCCTTGGGATCCTTTCAGACTCTGCCATTCCATGATTTCATGGGAAAATCAGCAATGGTAAACCATTCTAGAAAATGGCAGAATAAATCATTCAAAATCCACGAATGAAATGGGGCTCTGGACTGGAGGGCTGGAGGAAGGTTTAACATCTGCCCCAAGTGAACTGGTGGGAAGAAGATGTTGAAAATGGAATTTCCAAGCATGTTGACAAACCAGATTGCAGAGGAAGAAGCTGCAGAGCTTTCCCATGTAATTCCAAGGGTCTCGTGCAATGGGAAGTCCTCCCTCATGGAATGGGGCTGATCTCATAAGAACAGTGGGAACTCTCAGGAGATGGGGATGGCTGAAGCATGAGAAATGGCTGGTGAGGTTGAAACTCTGAGTAAGAGGCGGCTCAGGCCTTGCTCTGCTGCTGGGAGACCAGCCTGGCAGGAGGTGGAGGAGGGACTGGGTGCTTGCGGGTGCCCCTTTTAACACACTTCACGAGGAGAATCCAAGCAAATCTAGAGAAGCCCCAAGATAACATCCTCAGATTGTGTGGAGGGAAAACAAAATGCAAGGGAGATTCCTTATACATGAGAACTCGCCAAGATGGACATTGGACTGACCCTGCAGGATCCTCCTTAAGGGCTTTTGTAAGATATTGTAAGGCTCTAACAAGCAGTATATAGATTTTAGGAAAGAAAGCAAAATCTATAAAATCAAGGGTGAAACCAGGATACTAGTCTATAGGCAGGAATGGAACTCAGACTGGTGTGCAGGTTCTTTGCAGGGACAAGCTCTGCCCCCAGTCCAAGCCTTCAAACCCAGAACAGACGGTTTAACACCATGAAATATCAGTCCCAATCCCTCCTGTCAAATTGTTCCTCCCCTGGAAATTTACCTTTCTGAATCTGTTTTCTGTATAACACAGCATCTGAGGAAGCAAAAGATATAAAGCGTAAGGGCAACACTCCGCCACCTGAAATCAATCTCCATACAACAGTAACACTTCATAATGTAGCATCCTCGAATCGACTCCAGTCAGAGCAGGAGAACCTCCAAAGGACAACCCCAGATTGTGTAGACTGGTAACCAAAAGGAAAAGGAGGTTCCATATAATTGAAAACGTCACAATATACATGGGCCATTCTGGGGGACAGGAAATGAAGGCTGGAGCACCAAGAAGGAAGGTATCCTGGGGTTACTCAATTCCATGCAGTAAAAGCCTGGCATGCTCAGTTCTGAAGAAATAATAGAATTCCGAGTGTGAAATCCTGGCAGCCAATTTTCATTACCTTTCCATTGTTTCATTGCATCCTCCGCAAGGCCATTTACATCACAGGATTCGAAGATCCTGTTCCTCAGTTCTGGAGGGAAAGGCAGTGGCTTCTCTGGACTTTCTCTTTTCTCATACCTGATGAAAAGAAAAACAATGTCAGCACATTCAAACCCACAATTTCTGTTAAAGGAAAGAAAGGAATTGAGAGGAGGAAGCCGGCTGTGGGAGGCCTAGAGGGACAGGCAGGCACTGAGTGGGGAGTTTCTTCCTCACTACGGACTCTTCAGCCAGACCCCCAAGGACCTAAACAGCAACCCCAGGCCTCTGGGTCTCCCCACTGATGTCAATTCAAAGAAGAAGCAGAATCATTTGTTATCAAGGGGCAGGAATTGTCTGAGGGTGATGACAGCACAGCACGCATTTTCTTTCTCTAGATGTCCCCAGAAAAGGGGTGAGGAAGAAAAATAGATGCACTTCTGTTGGGAAACAAGAAATGTTCCTTTAAACCTCTACTCTGAACCTGAGTGACACCTTGAATTGAAATACTGCAGCCGGAATATGGTCAAGAAAATAGCCAATTCCTGCTCCTTGGTGAGAAATCGCCCCCTCCCAAGGGGCTCTATGGGGCACGAGTTTGCGTGGGACAGGATGGGGTGGCCGGCAGAGTGTTTGCTGCAGAGTGACTTAACTGGTCTTCTAGAAGGAAACAACGAAGGCAGGCACTTCTAACTCCCAAGAGACTGCAATCTACTCACAGTATAAAAAGACCGATTGTGACCACTATCACAGTGGTCCCACCACTGTCATAGTGGTGGGAATATATGCTCCAAACAGTAAAAAAGATGAATTTTTTAGAAACTTGGAAGAGAGATTATGGGACTATGTGGATGAAAATACAGTGATTATGGGAGATTTAAATGGTGTGACATCGATCAAAATGGATAGAACGCAAAGAGAAAGAATGTCAAGTTCAGGTAGATTACCACTTCCTTTTTTCCATTTAACTGAGAACTTTAACCTATATGATGCCTGGAGAACAAAAAACCCAAGTGTAAAAGACATAACCCATTACTTGGAGGCGAAAAAATCTGGGGGACGAATTGATGCAATATTTATAATTTAAAAAGATCAGGCAGGATTTTTGCCAGCCAGACAAATAAAGGACAATACTAGAATAATAACTCCCAGAAGTGCAAGCTGGATTTCGAAGGGGCAGAGGAACCAGAGACCAAATTGCAAACATGAGCTGGATTATTGAGAAAGCTAGAGAGTTCCAGAAAGACATCTACTTCTGCTTCATTGACTATGCAAAAGCCTTTGACTGTGTCGACCACAGCAAACTATGGCAAGTTCTTAAAGAAATGGGAGTGCCTGATCACCTCATCTGTCTCCTGAGAAATCTCTATGTGGCTACATGGAACTGGCTGAGATGACCGGCAGAATTCGAGACCAGGGAGAAGGGTCGATGGAAGAAGATTGGAAAAAATTCAAAATATATCTTCAAAAGTATTGCAATATAAAAGAATGTTAGAAGGAGGTTGGAAAAAGAATATTAGGTCGTTTCGGTAGATACGATATAATGGAATAAGCAAAAATGAGTTGATGAATTTGATGAAATAGAGGAGGTTTAATTACACTATTTTAATTTTAAAATACGTAAATGAAAATAAGGTTAGAGGGATTTGCTGGAAATACTGATTTGAACTAGAATACAAAATTGGGAGGTGAGAGGAGGTCATGGAAATAAGTAAAGGGAAAAGGTTATGTAAAGGTTTAACCTGCTTTTGTTTTATTTTTAACTTAATGCATTTTTATATTTTTTGTTAAGTTTTCTTTTTTATCCTATTTTACTGTTTCTTTTACTTGTTTATTTTTTGCTCTGTTATGGTTAAAGTTTTCTTTGTATTCTGTATGGTTTTTCTTTTTTTTCTGTCTTTTTAAATTTGGAATAAATATCTTTTTTTTTTTAAAAAAAGAGAAATCTCTATGTGGGACAAGACGCTACAGTTAGAACTGGATATGGAACAACTGACTGGTTCAAAACTGGGAAAGGAGTACGGCAAGGCTGTATATTGTCTCTCTGCTTATTTAACTTATATGCAGAATTCATCATGCGAAAGGCTGGACTGGATGAATCCCAAGCCGGAATAAAGATCGCCAGAAGAAATATCAACAACCTCAGATATGCAGATGACACAACCTTGATGGCAGAAAGTGAGGAGGAATTAAAGAACCTTTTATTGAGGGTGAAAGAGGAGAGCGCAAAATATGGTCTGAAGCTGAACATCAAAAAAAAAAAACGAAGATCATGGCCACTGGTCCCATCACTTCCTGCCAAATAGAAGGGGAAGAAATGGAGGCAGCGAGAGATTTTACTTTCTTGGGCTCCATGATCACTGCAGATGGTGACAGCAGTCACGAAATGAAAAGACGCCTGCTCCTTGGGAGAAAGGTGATGGCAAACCTAGACAGCATCTTAAAAAGCAGAGACATCACCTTGCCAACAAAGGTCCGTATAGTTAAAGCCATGGTTTTCCCGGTAGTGATGTATGGAAGTGAGAGCTGGACCATAAAGAAGGCTGATCGCCGAAGAATTGATGCTTTTGAATTATGGTGCTGGAGGAGACTCTTGAGAGTCCCATGGACTGCAAGAAGATCAAACGCATCCATTCTTAAGGAAGTCAGCCCTGAGTGCTCACTGGAAGGACAGATTGTGAAGCTGAGGCTCCAATACTTTGGCCACCTCATGAGAAGAGAAGACTCCCTGGAAAAGACCCTGATGTTAGGAAAGATTGAGGGCACAAGGAGAAGGGGACGACAGAGGACGAGATGGTTGGACAGTGTTCTCGAAGCTACCAGCATGAGTTTGACCAAACTGCAGGAGGCAGTGGAAGACAGGAGTAACTGGCGTGCTCTGGTCCATGGGGTCACGAAGAGTCGGACACGACTAAACGACTAAACAACAACAACAGAATAATTATAGATCTATTAGAATACGCCGACATGAATCCATGTAAACAAATCTCAATGTTACTGGTAGATGCCGAAAAGGCAATTGACAGTGTCTCATGGAAATTTATGATTAAAACCTGTGAAAGTTTAAAACTACCAAAAAGAATTATGAATGGAATTCAAGCAATTTATAAAAAACAAAGAAATTAATCATAAACAACAAAATCACAGAAGAATTTTACATTGAGAGAGGGACACGACAGGGATGCCCTTTATCTCCACATCTATTTATAACAATATTGGGAACTCTACTAATAGCTTTAAGGAAGGATGAAGAAATAAAAGGTATAAGTTTTGACACACAGTGTTATAAAGTAAGAGCGTTCGCAGATGACGTGATTATAACAACCGAAACACCAAAAGAAAGTATTAAAAAAGCACTAGAAAGAATGAAAGAATTTGGTGATGTATCAGGATTTAAACTGAACAAAGACAAATCAAAATTAGGCAGAATCCGAGACCAGGGAGAAGAGTCGGTGGAAGAAGATTGGAAGAAATTTAAAGACTACTTACAGAAATATTGTAAAATTAATGAATGATAGAATGATGTTGGATAGTAACTAAATGGTTTCTAGCTGTAATGCTTTAAGAGAATATGAAAAAAGGGTTATAAATGGGTTAAAATCTAATGGTAAGGATTTGCTGAACCAATAAATTGAAGTGGAATACAAAAAGGGAGGTACAAGGAGGTCCGGGAAACAAGCTAAAGGAAAATAAGTAACTGGAAATATGTGTGTTTTTAATTGTTTTTATTTTGTATTTTTCTCTTTTCTTTTTCATTTTTACTGTAATATTTCAAAAAACCTAATAAATATCTTATTAAAAAAACACAACACAAAATTAATAACAAAAAATATGGGTGAGAAAGAAAAAAAGGAATTGGAGGAAACAACAGGATTAAAAGTAGAAAATAAAGTGAACTATCTAGGGATATGGATTACAAATAAAAATACAAATTTATTCAAAGATAATTATGTTAAAAAATGGAAAGAAATTAAAGGAAATATAGAAAAATTGAAAAAATGAAAACTATCACTAGGAGGAAGAATATCTTTATTAATTTTTTTATCTCGTCGTGGATCATGTCCCAAAAGATTTTAATCTTTGGGCAAGTCCACCACATGTGGTATAACGTGCCTTTTGTCCTGTTACATCTCCAGCATTTGTTGTTGTTCGTTTTATTCATTTTTGACAGTCTATCTGGGGTTAGGTACCATCTGTGATGTATTTCCTATAATTCTCCCTTAATAGAACACATGCTGTAAAGTTTATATTTTTCTCCCAAAAGGTTTTCCAACCTTCCAAATCAATCTCATAGTCCAAATCGTGCTCCCATTTTAACATATTTTCCCCTTTAGTCTCTTGTTCTAAGGAAACTTTCCCTAATAATCTATACATATTTGGAAGTATTTTTTGGTCACTTTGCAATACTTCTTTTTCAAATTTTGAAGTTTTTTTTTCAAATCCCCTCATTTTTATATCCCTTTCGTATGTTACTTTCAATTGGTAATATTGTAGCCAATTTATTCCAAATGTTTGTGATTCTTCATAGGTTTTTAATTTGATGTTTCCGTCTATATCTTCTAGTAGGTCTCTATATCATAGAATCATAGAATCATAGAATCATAGAGCTGGAAGAGACCACAAGGGCCATCGAGTCCAACCCCCTGCCAAGCAGGAAACACCATCAGAGCACTCCTGACATATGGTTGTCAAGCCTCTGCTTAAAGACCTCCAAAGAAGGAGACTCCACCACACTCCTTGGCAGCAAATTCCACTGTCAAACAGCTCTTACTGTCAGGAAGTTCTTCCTAATGTTTAGGTGGAATCTTCTTTCTTGTAGTTTGGATCCATTGCTCCGTGTCCGCTTCTCTGGAGCAGCAGAAAACAACCTTTCTCCCTCCTCTATGTGACATCCTTTTATATATTTGAACATGGCTATCATATCACCCCTTAACCTCCTCTTCTCCAGGCTAAACATGCCCAGCTCCCTTAGCCGTTCCTCATAAGGCATCGTTTCCAGGCCTTTGACCATTTTGGTTGCCCTCCTCTGGACACGCTCCAGTTTGTCAGTGTCCTTCTTGAACTGTGGTGCCCAGAACTGGACACAGTACTCCAGGTGAGGTCTGACCAGAGCAGAATACAGTGGCACTATTACTTCCCTTGATCTAGATGCTATACTCCTATTGATGCAGCCCAGAATTGCATTGGCTTTTTTAGCTGCCGCATCACACTGTTGGCTCATGTCAAGTTTGTGGTCAACCAAGACTCCTAGATCCTTTGCACATGTACTGCTCTCAAGCCAGGTGTCCCCCATCTTGTATTTGTGCCTCTCATTTTTTTTTGCCCAAGTGCAATACTTTACATTTCTCCCTGTTAAAATTCATCTTGTTTGTTTTGGCCCAGTTCTCTAATCTGTCAAGGTCGTTTTGAAGTGTGATCCTGTCCTCTGGGGTGTTTGCCACCCCTCCCAGTTTGGTGTCATCTGCAAATTTGTTTTTTTTTTTAATTTTTTTTTATTGATTTTACAGAGAAGTTTTAGACAATACAAACAAATAAAAAGACATACAAACATGTATAGTTTCATAACCTTTTTTTTCATATCCCTCTCTTCTCGGACTCCCCCAAACCTCCCCTTCCTACATCCCAATTTCCAAAATTATTTCAGCAAATTCTAAATAATTTTATCAAATATATTTTTTCTTATTCTTTTCTTCAACTTAATCTTATGTCGCTGTAATCTCCTTTTCTTTCTCCAAACCTCGACATTTTAGCATTCCTCAATTTTATAATAGTTCTTAAGATAAATTTTAAATTTCTTCCAATCTTCTTTCGCCGTCTCTTTCCCCTGCTCACGGATTCTGCCAGTCATCTCAGCCAATGTCATATAGTCTATCACCTTCATCTGCCACTCTTCCAGGGTGGGTAGTTCTTCTGTCTTCCAATACTTTGCAATGAGTATTCTTGCTGCTGTCGTAGCATACATAAAAAAAGTTCTATCTTTCTTTAACACCAATTGGCCGGCAATGCCCAAGAGAAAGGCTTCTGGTTTCTTCGGGAAAGTACATTTAAGTACCTTTTTCAGTTCATTATATATCATTTCCCAGAAAGCCTTAATCTTCGGGCACGTCCACCAAAGGTGATAGAAAGTACCTTCAGTTTCTTTACACTTCCAACACTTATTATCAGGCAAATGATAAATTTTTGCTAGCTTGACTGGGGTCATGTACCACCTATAGATCATTTTCATAATATTTTCCTTTAAGGCATTACATGCCGTAAATTTTATACCTGTGTTCCACAACCATTCCCAGTCAGCAAACATAATGTTATGACCAATGTCCTGTGCCCACTTAATCATAGCTGATTTAACTATTTCATCTTGTGTATTCCATTTCAGCAGCAGATTATACATTCTTGACAAGTTCTTAGTATTGGGTTCTAACAGTTCAGTTTCTAATTTTGATTTCTCCGCCTGGAAGCCAATTTTCCTGTCTTGTTTATACACCTCCATTATTTGATAATAATGGAGCCAATCTCGAACTTTGGGTTTCAATTTCTCATAACTCTGTAACTTCAACTTATCTCCATCTTGTTCCAAAATTTCCCGATACTTTAGCCATTCGGCTTCCATATTAAGCTTTTTCAACGCCGTAGCTTCCAAAGGTGACAACCATCTAGGGGTTTTACTTTCCAACAAATCTTTATATCTTATCCAAACGTTATATAATGCTTTTCTGACAATATGATTTTTGAAGGCCCTATGCACCTTAATTTTATCATACCATAAGTATGCATGCCAACCAAATGTATTGTTAAAACCTTCTAAATCCAAGATATCTGTATTCTCGAGGAGCATCCATTCTTTCAGCCAGCAAAATGCTGCTGCTTCATAATACAGTTTTAAGTCCGGCAGGGCAAACCCCCCTCTTTCTTTTGCATCCATCAGTATCTTAAATTTTATTCTGGGCTTTTGCCCTGCCAGACAAATTTCGAAATATCCTTCTGCCACCTCTTGAAACAGTCTATCTTGTCAAGAATTTGTAATGTTTGAAACAAAAATAGCATTCTAGGCAATACATTCATCTTAATAACTGCAATTCGGCCTAACATTGACAATTTCAAATTTGACCATATTTCTAGATCTTTTTTAATTTCCGACCAACATTTTTCATAATTGTCTTTATACAGGTTCAAATTCTTAGATGTCAAATAAACCCCTAGGTATTTCACCTTCTTTACCACTGTCAAACCTGTTTCATTCTGAAACTTCTCCCTCTCCATGGCTGTTAATTTTTTTCCAAAACTTTAGTCTTTTGTTTATTCAATTTAAATCCGGCCACCTGACCAAATTCTTGAATTAGCTCCAACACCCTTTTTGTACTAGTGTCTGGCTCTTGTAAAGTAAGTACTAAATCATCTGCAAAGGCCCTTAACTTGTAATGTTTGGCTCCGACCTGTACACCTTTAACCTGCTGGTCATCTCTAATCATATTTAGCAACACCTCCAGAACAGAAATAAAAAGTAATGGGGAAATTGGGCACCCCTGTCGTGTCCCTTTTTCTATTTTAAATTCTTCAGTTATCACATTATTTACAATCAACTTAGCCTTTTGTTCAGCGTATATGGCACCCATACCATTCTCGAATCCTTGGCCTACCCCCATCCCATGAAGATTCTTTTTCATAAAACTCCAAGAAATATTGTCAAAGGCTTTCTCCGCGTCCACAAAGATCAGAACTGCTTTAGTGTTTATGTTCACCTCTAATAATTCCAAAATGTCTATTATGTTCCTCACGTTGTCTGATAAATGCCTTTTTGGGAGAAAGCCTGCTTGGTCCTTATGAATCTTCTCCATCAACACTCTTTTCAGTCTTTTTGCCAGAATGTCTGCAAAAATTTTATAATCCACATTAAGTAATGATATTGGGCGGTAGTTCTTAAGTTGAGTCTTTTCAGTCTCTGTCTTTGGTATGAGTGTAATATACGCTTCTTTCCACGATTCTGGTGCCCTTTTCCCCTCTAAGATCTCATTACAGACTTCCTTTAATGGTTGTACCAACCACTCCTTCAAAGCTTTATAGTATCTGGAAGTCAGTCCATCTGGTCCTGGAGATTTGCCCAGTTGCATGTTTTGAATGGCACCCTCTATCTCTTGATCTGTTATTCTCTGGTTTAGATCCACCTTACTTTGGTGAGAGATTTTTTGTAGACCATACTTTTTAAGAAATTCATCTATATCCTCCTCCTTCTGTGGTCCTTGTGAATATAGTTTTTTAAAATAACTCAAAAAACAGTTTCTTATCTCGTTAGGTTTAGATATATTCTTTCCATCCACTTCTAGGCTTGTAACTGTGTTTAGTTTCTGTCTTTTCTTCAATTGCCAAGCCAGAAGCTTACCACATTTATCTGCAGATTCAAATGTCTTTTGTCTCATTTGTTTTATCTTCCATTCAATCTCTTGATTCATCAATTCCATATATTGTGTCTGGTATAACTTAATCTCTCTCAAAATCTCCTGGGACTTTGGTTTTGATCTCAATTTCTTCTCTCCTTCTTTTATCTTTTCCAAGATCTTGTCCTTCTTCTCATTTTGCTTTCTCTTTTTTACTGAATTTTGTTGAATTAGAAATCCTCGCATCACTGCTTTACTTGCGTCCCAGATCACTCTTTTTTCTACATCAGTTTTTAGGTTTATTTCAAAATAGTCCTTTAAAAATTTTTGGGCCTTTCTGTGGATCTCCTCATCTCGAAACAGGGTGTCATTCATCCTCCATCTGAATTGACCAGTTGTTGTAAGTTTCATCTCCATCTTCACGGCGTTATGGTCGGAGCAGGTCTTTGGGCAGATTTCCACTTTCTTAATCTTTGGAGCCAACCCACTAGTAATCCAAATTTGATCGATTCTGGTCCAGGTCATCATTGCTTCAGAGAAGAAGGTTCCCTCTCTCGAGAGGATTCCTTGTTCTCCAAATATCAATCAAGTCCATATCTTCAGTCATTTCAAAAAAAGTCTTTGGTAGTCTCCCATCTCTGGTGATTACCTGTCTTTGTGCTTTGTCCATATTTGTAGATACCACTCCATTCATGTCTCCCATCATGATTAAGTTGTAATCCAAATAGTCCAACAATGTCTCATGCAACTTCTTAAAAAATTCTGACTTCCCTTCATTAGGTGCGTAGATCCCTAGTATCAAAAATTTTTCACCTTGAATTTGCACTTCAATTGCCAAATACCTTCCTTGTTCATCTTTAAATATAAACTTTGGGGAAAGTTTTTCTTTTGCATAGATTACCACTCCTCTTTTCTTAACTTTATCCGATGAAATAAATTCTTGGCCTAATCTCTTATTGACGAGTAGTTTCCTATGCAATCTTGTTATATGAGTTTCCTGTAAACAAATTAAGTCCAACTGCTCTTTTTTCAATAAATGGAATATATTTTTCCTCTTTCGCGGAAGGTTAAGTCCATTACAATTCCAACTTAGAAGTTGCAGGGCCATCCTGAAGCTATTTGCCTCCTGTTGCTCCGAGTAGTTGTTCTTCTTCTGTCGGTGATTTCAGTCCAAACGTCAAGTTTAAAATGTCTGTTGCGTCTTTCGTTTCTGATGTTATTTCCTCTCCGACTGTTCCTTTCAGAAGGTCTTCCTGTAGTGATTTAGAAATTGATCTCGATCTTCTACTGATCTTATCCTTATTTTCCTACCTTTGAATTTAAAAGATAGGCCTTGCGGGAATTCCCACCTGAAAGGTACTTCGTTCTTCTTCAGCAATCCGACCAGTTCTTTATAGTATGTTCTTGCGTCTAGGATTTCCTTTGGGATATCTTTAAAAATCTCCACAAAAGATTCTTCAATCTCGAGTGTTCTTTGAAAATGCAGGCTCAATATTTTATCTCTCTCCTCTCTTGATCCTAATGTTATTAGGCAATCCCTTGGCTTCTTCCTGCCTTGTGCTCTTCCCAGTCTAAAGGCAGTGACTATTTTAATTTCTTCCTTCTCTAACTCCTGTTGCCAAAAATCCGAAAATTCTTTAGAAAGGAAGTTCGCCAAGTTATCTCCTTCACTTTCAGGCACCGCTCGTAGTCTTAAATTTCTATCTCTCCTCTGCAATTCAAGCATAGACAGGGCCAATGTATGATCTTCTAACTTTTTGCAAACTGGTGCAATTTTTTCCTGTGTAGCATCCGCCGAAACTTTAGCCTCATCAGCAGAGACTTTGGCTTCTTCTGCGATTTTACGTATATTGGCAGAGTCCTCTAATATTTTATTAATAGATTCTGTATTAGATGTCACCCTTTTCCCTAATTCATTCACACTTTGTGTATTCTGATCAAGTTTAATTGAGAGTTCTGTCAATTTTCTGCTATTTTCCGCCCCTGCTTTGTCAAAGATTCCAAAGACTCATTTATTTTAACCAAAGCTTGTGTTACCGGATCTGATGACATTATTGTTCTTGTCTGACCAGTTGCAGCTGGTGCCACTGGGATGCCTGGGACTGAAACTCTTCGCTGTGAAGATTTTGCTTTGTATTGTCTCCCAGACCTGGTTGTTGTCTCTTCTGGTGCACCACTCATGCCTAGCCAAGGTCACTCTCGCAGCTGTTAGTTGTTTTTCAAGGGAAATTTCCACTGCCTTAGTAGTTACAATCCAATTTGCAACAGTTATCAAAATGCCCTCTAGGGGAAGAAAGTTTCCAAAACTAAACAAAATGTCTTACAGTCAAAAATTCCCTGAGGTTTCCCAATAGTCAATTGTAACAGTTCTTATATTTTCAGAGTTCAACAAACCAGTAATTTAATATCTCTCCTGAGCTGAGTAGTTTAAAACAATGTAACAATCCAAGTGACAGTTCACTGACAGTTCTCTCTCTCCAGGTTCCTTTGCCCCGGCAGTCCGTTTCAGGGGTGTTTGACACAGTGATAAAAAGTTTTTAAAATCCTTTTCTGGCAGGTTCTAATCACAAATTCCTCCCCCTTTTGCTCCTGCCTACCAAAAGGGGGGAAATTCACAGTTTATGTCTGGTTCTCTTAGCTCTTTGCGATCTCTCAATGGTTACAGCTTTTAATCCTTCTTTGCTTTATCCTTATGCAGTCCGGGAAAGGCTGACTTCCTTACTTTAAGCCGATCCCGTTTTCAGCCAAATTTCAAAAAGATAATTGTAAATCCCAATTAGGTCTCAGTCTTACTCACAGGTTTTACTTTATAATCCAATTTTCAGGAAGGAATCGGCGCTCTCCGGCTATGGCGATGCGGCTTCGCTTCACAAGCTGGGTAGCGGCTCTCAGCACCGCTTCTCCCCCCGCTGCCGTTCCGGAGCCTTTAAAAAGGCTCCCTTGCGATTTCGGGGGGGCGCGATGGTGCCCACCGAGCCTCCTTGTTCACAGGCTTCCGCGCCTGTAATTTTTGAGGGTCCTCGCTTCGCCGTAGCGACAGGACCCGAACTTGTAAAGCAGACCCCCTCCGGAGCTCGGAGGGAAATCCGCCATTAACCGATGGCGCCGACCGGAAGTCCCATCTGCAAATTTGATCAGGATGCCCTTGAGTCCATCATCCAAGTCGTTGATAAAGATGTTGAATAAGACCGGGCCCAAGACAGAACCCTGTGGCACCCCACTAGTCACTCTTCTCCAGGATGAAGAGGAACCATTGATGAGCACCCTTTGGGTTCGGTCCAGTCAGCCAGTTACAAATCCACTGAGTGGTAGCATAGTCAAGACCGCATTTTACCAGCTTCTTTACAAGAATATCATGGGGCACCTTGTCAAATGCCTTGCTGAAATCAAGGTAGGCTACATCCACTGCGTTCCCTTCATCTACCAGGCTTGTAATTCTGTCAAAAAACGAGATCAGGTTAGTCTGACATGACTTATTTTTCAGAAATCCATGCTGACTATTGGTAATCACAGCATTCCTGCCAAGAAAACTCCATGGACAAAGACAACAGGCATATAAAAGTTATGACACTGGAAGATGAGCCCCTCAGGTCGGAAGGCGTCCAACATGCTACTGAGGAAGAGTGGAGGACAAGTATAAGTAGATTCAGAGCTGATGAAATGGCTGGGCCAAAGCCGAAAGGTCGCTCAGTTGCGGATATGCCTGGAAACGAAAGGAAAGTCCAATGCTGTAAAGAAAAATATTGCATAGGAACCTGGAATGTAAGAACCATGAACCTGGGTAAGTTGGATGTGGTCAAAAATGAGATGGCAAGAATAAATATTGACATCCTGGGCATCAGCGAACTAAAATGGACGGAAATGGGCGAATTCAGCTCGGATGACCAT